TTTTTTTTTTGTTAACCCTAACCCATGAGCGGGAAAGAAAAGCATTGGTTTAATATTTTTTAACCCTAAGCACTCGACAGTAAACCCTAAATCGTAGGCGGCAAACCCCTACACCCTTGAAGTCTTTTAAAAATCGAATATTTCAGTACAAACGATCACAAAATAGTAAAACTGGCGAGTGGCGGCATGGGAATGCGCCGTGTGGCGGTCATGCTTGCAGCTCCCCACTCCAGCGCCTCCACTTGGCATTTCTTGTATATTTTATTCAGTTTTTTTTCACAAAAATCATTAAAAATGCATGAAAATTATGGAAAAAATTGGAAAATTTCCTAACTCTGTGTGGGGATGAATACTTCGTTAGGAGTTTTGGGTTAATAGTTGGCAAAATGTTTTTTGTGGAAATTGATATGTAATTCTTGATGTTAGTGAATAGGGAGTTCCGTACTATGTGATTCAATATTTTTTTTGTTTGGTGCAGAAATCCTAAAATTTGCTAGACAAATCCGAAAATAATGGGGAAATGTCGTAGATGGTTATAATCAAAATTGGGAAAAACCATCCACTTAATTCGTAGATCCACATTGCGATATTTAAATAATTATGTTAGTGAAAAGGGATTACCGGATGACTTAATTACACTTCTGTTTTGTTGCAAATATACTTTCAAATGCAGGACAAATCAGGAAATTAGGGGGATTTTTTTGGGGTATTTATGGGATCATCAGAGTATCTTAGAAAATCAAGGATGTGTCAGACATCCACTTGTCAACGAAGTGACTCAAAGGATAATCCCTTTTCGGGTTGACAACACGCAACCTCCTTGCCATATGCCTGTATGTCATCTTTAACGAATGACTGTTTGGGGGATATGAACTAGCAATTCCACATGTGAGACCACTTACTGAAACGATATAGGACCCAAAACCATAAACAGACTTCAAATAAAAACAATACAAAGTTCACACAGTTTCACCTTTACATAAAAACACTAAAAACCAAAACAACAATTTATTAATAAAACACCAATCATACCATGTACATAGACTTATATATCAAACGCGGTCATCAAGTAGAGTTCGCGCTGGATGCAGAACAGCTCCCTCTTCCATTTGCAGGGTTCACAACAGTTCCAAGCATCTACGTTGCCCCAGTCTTCGGCACTGCGGTCCCCGAACTGATACCACTCCCGATTACCCTTACAGTCAATGCAGTCTTGAAAAAAATCTTCTTCTGCAGTAAACTTTTCAAGCAGAGGAGGAATTTTGGTGCCAGACATTGTATACCGACCCAGTCGCAAGCTTATTGAATCCCTTCAAGCTTGCATGTTCAGTTTCTTCGTTTTGTTGAGATGGCACAAAAACTCCATCGCATTCTCCTTGCCCTCGCTAGGGTTCAACAGCCCTAGCAAGCCAACAAGGTAGGAGGCTTCCTCAT